CGGATGGTAATGATCACAATTTAGAAATGGTTTGCTCGCTGAAAACACCAGGATACATTTTAAAGTAAAGAACAAAAGATTTAATATGTTACCGTGCGCATTAGGTACATTATGTTGATACAAGTTAAATTTGTTAAAATAATTTGCTATAACGTCGGCTTGCCGAATTTTATTACTATAACATCTCAAACTGTATTGTAAAGAGCCATCAACCTCACTATATTACTGAAAATCTGAAAGATTATAATCGCCAATAATTAGAAAGTCGGTATTAGGCAACGCTGACATTACCTGATCAACAGCATTACAGTGTGACTCGTAAACAAAAGAGTCTGAATCTGGCGGTATGTAAATAGTACCGATAATGAGGTGTTTGTGACCGAAACGAATATCAACAAAGAGTTGCTCGACGCAAGAAATGGATATATTAATAGCGCGGCTAGACAAGCAACATTTAACAGCGATCAAACTGCCTCCTCTAGTATGCACACTTGTATCGGAATTTCTGTCACATCTAAAAAGTTTATAATCATTTAAGCCTAATTCTGCATCCAGCACATCGTCACTTAACCATGTTTTGATAAGTATTATGATATCATAAGACTCTCCGAAGCCAATAAAATAGCCGATCGCAAATCGTGTAACTTAGTTTTTGAACCGCGCACATTCTGATAGTATACCAAAGGAAGAGAGTTTAGTTTTTTGTAGATTCCGAGAAGCCTGATTTGCATCTACGATCCTAGATTAAAATAACGAATTGTTTTGTTCGTATCACCAGTGTCATGTAATTGTTTTAGTTGATCTTTTATGTCTTTGAAAAACTGTCTCTGTTTAGGTGTTTGATCTTGATAAATTTTAACCGGCCCCGAGTAACGGTTTTTATTACGCAAAATAGTTAATGCATCTTCTTTAAAGAGCAACGTAACACGCAACGGCCTCGAGCTTCTTTGGCCCCTACCACCTATCCTTACGACTTTAGATTTTGGCACTTTATCGGGAATAATACTTTGCAGAATGTCATTGGCAAGAATTGAGTCCATTTTTTTATTGTCTTCCAAAGATCCGGCGGTTACCTCATCCAAATTATAAAAAATTAGATTAGTTGATCTTCGATTCCGATCCGCAAGCTCCTCGATTATATCCTCAAGTTGCAAGGAAAAGCCCGGTGATATGTAAGATGCGATCTTATTTTCAATTTTTTTCATTCTGTCCGATAAGCATTGGATGTTGTTAGTGATCTTTATAATGGCAGCTTGATATAATTCGAGCATATTGTCGTAATCCGACCAATTTCCCAATATTAATAGAAAACAGTAAAGTAGCACAGAAAAGATTAAGAAAGAGCTGAATAAAGCAAAGCATCAAATTAGGAAAAAAGCCCAAGGAAAAGTAGTAATTAAGAAAGAGTAAAAGTAATAAAAGATTATTAATAAAATAAATAAGAGACGTGACTAAAGAAAAGGAAGTCACAGCCAAGTTCTCGGAAGCTGAGTAAGCAGCTGACGAGACAGATTGACAAGCGGAGCACGAGACGTGCTCCGACCAGGGTCACCATATTCCTTTCTATTTAACGACCTAATTAATTAATATAAATCGAGCGCGAGATGCACCAATGCTCGCTCGCTCACTGACTAATTTCGCTCACTCGCAGCCGATTAGTATAATCGTATCTTACCAAAAGTACTATACGTATCGCGCCCGACTTAACCGCGAATAAGTGCACAGTATATTAAAACTTGTGAAATATATCAATTTATACCTAAAGTCTAGGAGTGTCTTATTCTGAGCGTGAATCCTAATCCTTTGGGCGTACAAATCCCAAAAAAAACCTTTGCTTAGCGGCTAGGGGCATAACAATTTCTTTACGGAAATTTGCAAATTCAGATCGGATTGGATTCTAGATGCTGTCCAAAGGACCCTGATTTGTGTTCAAATCCGAAGCCTTACAATTCATAAGAAGATCACCAAAATGTGAATGCCCTGTGCGAGAAAGGCAGGCAGGATAAAATGCAATGTTGCAACTAGGACAAGTTATGGATTTGACCATGACGGTGCAGCTTTTGCATATTTTCCTACTATCTATTTTGTATATGAAAAAATATAGACCAGTTGTAAAGAAACAAGAAGAAACAAATCAGAAATTAAAATTGAACTCCCGCAAAGACCGAAAACTAGCAAAATTCGCAGAAGAAAACACGTCTGACCTCTACGGAAGTATACTGTATACTGTTTACTGTATACTGTATACTGTATACTGTATACTGCATACTGTATACTGTATACCGTTATTTTATAAAGATAGTGAAAGTAATTACTATAATTATGTCATTCCTTATGAAGAAACAACGAAAAATTACATACGGTTACATCCAAAGCACATATTTTTATTTATATGTATATTATAAAACTGACCAATTTTAATCTATAAATCAATATATCTTGAAAATGACTTTGAGTTAAAAAAAAGAACGCATAGATGTTAAAGAAGTTCAAAGGGGTCGTTAAAACATCGCATAAAAAGTTCGATAGGTGGAGGAGTCTTGGAGATTTCAAGGTCATCTTTGTTTTTTTTTTTTATGGAATCTAGTACTTTTTTTACTGTATGATACAGGAGCGTGGCGAGACAAATTCATTCATATCATATGTTGTTATGTTTTATTAACATATGTCAACATAAAGTAACAGAAACTATTTTATTTTAAAACTTGAAAATATTCGAATTAGGGCTCGTGAAAACCGATTAATTCGATTAACCGTTTAACCGGTTAAAAACGAATTTACTGGTTAAAATCGGTTAACGGGTAATTGGTTAGAGTGATTACTATTATTCGATTAATCTTTAAATCGGTTAATCATTTAATCGATTATTCCGGTTAATTAGGAAACAGTTGGTCTCCTTTCCGGAACAAAACACTTCTTTTATTCTGTGGTCCTGTGTAATTAATCAATTTCAGCGATTAATCGGTTAACTGAAACCGTATTAACCGATTAACCGAAACCGTATTAACCGATTAACCGTTTAGTCGAATATTAAACGTTTCTTAACCGACTAATCAGTTACAATCACGAGCCCTAATTCGAATACATCGCCCTGAACATCGATACATTTATTTATCCGTTTCCTAAAGCTATCTTGAACGAAGGCAAGCATTTCGGGTAATGCTGCTCAATAATTCGTCCCCTGATATCGGGTGTTGTTGGCTAACGAGCGAGAACCTTTTTTTTGACATATCCCCATAAAGAAAATCTAGTGGCGTTAAATCTGGCGATCTGGATGGCCATTATACAAAACCTCCACGACCAATCCATCGACGAGGGAAATTAATATTGAGAAAGTTTCAAACGTTACAATCGTAATGAGCTGGAGCACCGTCATGTTGATACCACAATCGCGCGCGCGTAGTCGTGTAACTAAATCCACATTTTCAAGAAATTTTCTCAAATTCGCTAAAATTTTATTTGAAATCCTAAATGATTGTATCGATTTATTTAAAAAATTTGTTAATAAAACATAACAACATATGGTATGAATAAATTTATTTCGCCACGCTCCTTCATCGTACACTAAAAAAAGTATTAGATTCCATTTAAAAAAACAAAGATGACATTGAAATCTCCAAAACTCCTCCACCTATCGAATTTTTTTTTGTGACGTTTTAACAACCTCTTCGAATTCTTTTAAAGGTGCATACCCGTTTGGAACCTCGAAAAATGAGTACATTTTCTAGATTTTTTTTGCAACGCAACAACTTGATAAAATTTTTTAACTTTTTAACGATATTAATACAATATTATTAACTACTTAAATAAAAATTTTCAGCTCAAAAAATATTTTTTTTTGAAGTTATGGGAATATTTGCCGAGTTCTTCCAAATTTTAGGTGGCTGAACGGTGTGCATAAAAACGTTCGTAAATCATATTTGAAATAAAAAACCCAAGTTTTCTGTTATTGAACATTGTAATTGCTATCTGATATTCAAGCGTTTTTTCAAAATTTAAAAAAATAGAAAAATGGCAGCGTGTTGAAAAGAAGTTTCGGTTTTTTTTTTAAATCCATCTTTTTTTATAACAAAAAAATGGGGAATCGGATTTAAAAAAGGCTTCATTGGCAGATGCGGAATCTTATTAGAAACTCGCATGTAAAATTTGAAGTCAATCTGTCGAACGTAGCCCGAGTTTTCATGCATGAAAACCGTGCATAAAAACATAAATCTGCAAATATTCGCATAACTTTAAAAAAAAACTTTTTTAGGCTGAAAATTTTTATTTAAGTAGTTAATAATATTGTATTAATATTGTAAAAAAAATTAAAAATTTTTATCAAGTCATTGCGCTGCAAAAAATCTAAAAAAATGTATTCATTTTTCGAGGTTTCAAACGGGTATGCCCCGTTAATAACTATGTGTTCAATTTTTTTAACTTAACGTCACTTTTCAGACATATTGATTTATAGATTAAAATGGGTCACCTTATATGTTATACATATACTTTCATGCGGATTTTAATAAGCTTTCATTCTGATTTTTATTTTTGATTTGAAACTTGATTGCAACTGCAAATGTTGTGTATGTCAAGTTTTAAAATTCTAATTTAATCTTTATATATTTATATCAATGCTGAAGATAAACCAAAAAACGGTCCGAAACGTACATTTTTAATGCACATTAGTTAATAAAATTCAACAATAAAAAGTTCCCGCACTGATACCCGCGCCTTGGCTCTTATCTGCCAGTTTTCCCATTTTAATTATCTTACAATTAGAAAAATTAGCAATTCGTCATTTTACCCATTTTGTCATCTTACCTCCTTTTCCCTTATTACTGTAAAATTCTAAAAAATGTTGGATCTAAGATTCCAAGAAAAGTAAATTCTACCAAGAATCCTATTAATGAGTTCTATAGGGCCGGTTTTATTAGTTAATGCTAAGTATGATTTAAATAATCATCTGATGCATCTTAAAAGTTGTGTATTTAAAACAATAAAAAGTAGTGTATTCTTACATTATTAACAATGTAAATACCACGGCCTCGTGAACTGGCTTTAGGTTTAACAATCCATGGACCTCTATATCTGAAATGCGCCGAAATCAATTCTTTGGCTTCAGTGGGCAACAGAAAAGTCTGAGGTATAAAATCAAGATTTCGAAGCCCCTTTCTCCTCTGCATAGCTTCGATGTTTTTGTAAAGACGATCTTTACGGGTGATTTCGTAAGATCTAGAAAATAGATTTTTAAATAAAATTAAGAAAGATAAGTCAATATTCACTCGTTTAAGTATTATGAAAATTTATATTTTTGAATATTTGAATAAAGTTTAAATATATTTTTAAATTTAAGCATATTATTAGGTATACATATTTGAAAATTTGAATTTTTAATATTTGATTTAAATATATTTTGAATGTTTTAAGTGTGTTCTAGAAATTTGTTTCGTTAAAATAGTTTCACAAATTTTTATATATGGATTATTTTCTGTTTAGTTAAGGAAACTGTTTTTTAATTATGCTTTTCTTACCTAGGAAAATGATTCACTTTTTGATAAGGCATTAAATTCCGCAAAACATCTGGCTTAGGATGATTTCCCATCCACAATATATTAAAATCCATCTCATGCATAGGCACCTGAAAACAAAAATATTCTTACAGAGATTTTTATTTGTAAAAATAGTAAAGGAATGTGTTACCTATTGTCACGTCTTAGTAACTCTAACCGACTCTCTGCAAAATGTAAAATTCTGATAATTTAGTTGGTAATCTGAAGATCGTTTAAATATTGGATCATTTCTGTAATTAAAAAGATAAAACCGGGATAATTGACTGTCTAGAGCTCAGCTCTTCGTTTGTTGTGGGTGATAATTGAAGAATAGGCCGATGTAAAAATTAAGTTTGTACTCTTTTTTTTTTACAGATATAGATATTAAAAAACTGAGTATATAGAAATGGTAAGTAGTATAGGGGCTATTATGGGGCGTCACAATAAACCTCCTCCACTTAACCATTGGCGCCAGTGATGTCGTCATAGAGAGCCACTATGGGGCCGTCAAAATAAATTGTTATCATCGACGTGCAGAAGCCATTATAGAGCGCTTACAAGTGACGATATCGTCATCTCTGCTAGGACAAAAAAAACAAGAATGATTGATCGGGTGGAAAGGGAAAGATTCCGTCACAGCTATGGGAAAAATAATAATTAATTTTTTTTTCCAGCTAAGTGACAATTACTCGGTCTCGAATCTGGGTCTTCCTCGTTTTCGAACAAGGTCCTAATATGGTGAGCTATTTGAAATCTTATTAGAATAAGGGTTGGATGAAATATTTATGACGAGTGCCTGCCATGTTAAACCTGGAATCCCTCACGTGGAAAGCTATAGATTGGAAAATTATTTCGACAATCCACACGCTGCCCCGAGTCCGTCAAAACATCAAAAGACGTCACGCGTCTTAGCAGACATGTTGTGTCGCGTAGAGGAAGATGACTCATGACAATAAGTAGTGTTATGCCTCTGGTGAAGCACAGGAAATACAAGATCGTTGCCGGATTAGAATTTGAAAATTCGGGACTCGTCCATCGGCTTACCAGTAGAATTAGCCCTGTGTAATTTTAATCGTATATTTACATAAGTCGTATATTTAATCATAATTACTCTTGATTACAATATCTTCACGCGTAACCAGTGTCGCGTATCGCGTTAGCGGATATCTTTGCGTACGCGTGTCCGGAATAGAGTTTATGTCGCGAGACTCATTCCTCGATCTCCGTGGTTTGGTTATGTTTGACTACTCGATTTTATTAATTAATAATAATTCGTAACGTATCGTTTTCTTCTATTAATACTTGCGACTGCCCGGTATATATTAACAATACTGACCGCTCGATATAAATTAATGATTGTGACTGCCCGCCGCTCGTTTGCGGTGGGTGTTTTTATTGTTTCCCCTTTGATTGTTTTTTTCGGAGGGGTTCGCTTAACGACAATATAGTCGTGTCGCTCGTTTTGGGCGGCAACGCCCGGGTGCAAGCTAAGGAAGTTCAAACTCGAACTTCTTTGCTTGCATTTTCGCAATTTCCTTAATTCTTTCGCCTTGATTTCCGCAATCGGGATGATTGCGTGGTTGCTTAGGCTTTGCGCATGGCTCGCTGTGTCAGTGCTTCGCGCGATCAACGCTTGCAACGTTATACATATTCGCGTTACAGGTTGGCCAGCGTATTGTAATACATATAAAATAATAAATATAATAATAATTAGTGTATAGCCTTTTCGGCTATAACAGTAGGTAATAGAATAGGTATGTATTAGGTCTACCGGGAAGTTCTGTCCGTTTTTGGAATAAAACAAAATATAAATTTTTATTACCGTCAATAAACTTTATTAAATAATGTAATTGCCATTATTCGGAGAAGTATTGTCAGCAACTGGATAATTTAAATACAGCAGTCCAAGAAAAGAGGCCGGCGATGTTCAATAGGAAGAACATCATACTGCATCATGATAATACCAGGCCACATGCTGCTTTGGGGACTCGTCAAAAAATTGCAGAACTAAGCTGGGAAATTCTGTCGCATCCACCATATTCCCCGGACTTAGCACCCTCCGACTATCACTTGTTTTTGTCCCTACAAAATTTTTTGAGGGGCAAAAAATTCAAAAAGGAACAAGATATCAAACAAGCACTGGTTCGCATCAAAAGATAAAACATTTTTCGAAAATGGGATATACAAATTGCCCTCACGCTGGCAAGAAATCATTAATAATAATGGCAATTACATTATTTAATAAAGTTTATTGACGGTAATAAAAATTTGTATTTTGTTTTATTCCAAAAACGGACAGAACTTTCCGGTAGACCTGATATATAGACATTTGGGACAACATGACGCATCGAGAGAAAATGACATTATCGCTCGTATAGCACATTGTCGCTAGTGTGGCTTACGACGAAAGTTTTTTGTTGAAAAAGGATGGGGATAGCTCGATGTAAAAAAGAAGAGAGAAAAATTATTGATGTTAATTTTTCATAAAATGATATTGATTACAAACAATTAATCTTAATACATAAACTTATGCAAAAGTTTATTGTTACACTTAAAATATAGAGTTAAATATGGCATTAGATGGTTCGTTGTTTCTCATGTTTCCTTTTTTTGCAAAGAAAAATTTTATGATATGATTGTACGATTAAACGATCGTTTTGTTCACAATTTTCGGTAAAAAAAGAAAGAAACCGATTAAGATCGTAACCATTACACATATAATATAAAAATATGTAGCTGTATTGTCCGCATGTTTGACAGAAAAGTCCTTGTAATTGTTGGGTGTTCCATCGATGGACGATGGAGTTTCAACGAAGTCGAAGGAGAAATCCAGGATACAATGGCGGTATTCCGTAGCTGTCGAAGTATGTGCCTGTACCATGCTCGTCAAGGAAGAAGGCGACTAAATATTCTCCAGGTTGTGGTTGTCCGTATTAGCGACGATAGCTGTCGACCTCGTCCACATCCTCGGAACTTCGTCGAGATAAACTCCCACATGTTTGGCATCGATATGATGCAATGCTTGTTTTTCGCAAGAGTTCATTATTTTGCCACAGTGGTGAACGAACGAGCGGTATTATACAGGGTGTCCCCAATTTAAATGTCAAAACTTTAGGAGCGTGTAGGGGACCGATAAACGTGCAAGGACACAGGCCCGTGCGGATCCGGTCCTTGCGGAGGGACTGCAATTCTGCACCCGATGGCGTGACGCGGTCCCGGAAAAGACGGAAGGAAGGGTGGTAGCGATACTTCCGGCCAAACCGTTCACCTCAGACCCCGCGACGGCCCCGCGAAAAGGGCCCCAGCGAATTATTGTTTGTAATACCGGGGGCGCGCGTACCCCCGTTACGACCGTGAGCGCGCCGCCCGCCGGCCACAGCGCGTGATAACGCGTGATTGGCCGCGATAATACGCACCCCGTGTGCGCAGCCCCGGCTGGCCCACAGGTATCGATTCTGGATCGCGACGATCCGGGATTAGACTGGCGCGGGCTTGCGAGCAAAGTAGAGGCGTGTGACAGAAACGCGCAATTTACACCCGCGCGACGGAGAGAACGAGTCGGCGGCCGCGTTTATCGCTCAGCCGCGAGACAGTTGGAAAAGTCGTCGCAAAAATTTGAAATATAAATTCGAAATTAACCCCCCCCCCACTCCCAAGAGAAACCGTACCGGCGTCATTCACCCTCCGCAGCCACTATTCCGATTTTCCGAATCTCGAGTCGGGCGTCGGAGAGCGACCGGAACCTCCAGAGTAAAGGCCAAAACACAAAGCGGACAATCCACAACACATTCGAGACAACAAAAATAACGCGACAAATTCAAGACTCGGTCGGCCGCAGATCTTCGTCTTTCTGTAACCGGGTCACCAAATACAATCGGCGGGTCTTCGGTGGAGTGCGTTCGCAGGCGGAGGGAAGAGGGTCGTACAGAAAATTGGTCGCCAAAATCACCGCTATGAAACCTTTATTGCCCGCCTCGCCCGGTTACATCAACCAAAAAAAAGAAATGGGCGACTGGCGAGGGTCCCGGGGGGGAAGGTCGCGGTGGGCTCTTCCGGTGTTGGGTCGCCTAGTTTAAGGCTCGAGCACGCCCGCGCGTGGACAGCGGGCGCGAGTCGCGCGGCTCGTCGGGACTCGGAGTCTCTCGGCCCGACCCGCGAGGGGCCTCCGTTCTCCATGCCTCTCCGCAGTCCGGGCAATCTTTCACGGTGGTTCCCGCAGCGCCGCATCGGAAGCAGAAGCGCCCCAGCCGCCTTGAGCACTCGCTGTAGCGGTGGTCCGGTTCCCCGCAGTTCTAACAGCCTGTAGGTGGAGAAAGTCCGTGCCGCGAGTTGGGTCCACAACTCCGGGCTGACCTTCTCCTCGGCCTGGTCGAACGGGTGCTACTAGACTACTACTCTCTCCGAGGGTTGTTTGCACCGCCTGGCTCCTCATTTCGGGCGTGGCCTGTGCGCCAGCGTCCGACACGGGAACCGTTGCTTGTATACCCCGATTCTCCCGGGCGCCGCGGGCTAGGCGAACGCGGCCCAGCTCCTCTCGAAGGCCGCCCCAGAAGTAGGGGTTTCGCTCCCCGGCGGCGTCCAGCCACGCCGCACATTCCTGGAGGAACTCACGGTAGCTCATGCTCTCGTGGTCTCCCTGTCAATCGATAACACCTACGGAATATAGGGAGCAATGTAGGGTTTCAAATCCTTAACGTATATTTTTCCGATCGCTCTATCCTCCTGGTCCGCGATCTCGTATACGACAGGTGATAAGACCTTCGCGATCTTAAACGGACCGTGAACCTTCGTGGCGAGTTTCGCTGAGATGGCATGCGCTGCGGATGACAATACATGCTGTCTCTTCAGTACTTGATCGCCGACGACAAAACGCCTATCGCGTCTACGCAAATTATAATATCGCGATTGTCTTTAATGAGCGGCTTCCAAATTTTCTACCACCCAGTCTCGCAACGCTTGGATTCGCTCCATTCGCTCTTTCCATTTCGCGGTCGCGGCTTCCTCGATTTCGATCTCGGGCTCCGGCCCCTCTCGCCTGGAGCTTACTGACGGCGGTTCTCTACCAAAATTTAGAAAGGGCGGCGTAGCC